CAAGCCAGAAATAAAAGATGTTGCTCTTGCCTTATGACTTACTTAAAATTATTATTGATTAGTAAACATTTGCTTTATTTTCCATAGAATCAATAAGCTTCTCTCTTTTTTCTTTCCTTACATGAATTATTTTTGTATAAACAATTTTCCTGGAGTAATAGATTGGCTTACCTTCTTATTTTCAGTTTTAATTTCCACCTAAATCTGCTAGGATTCCAGAATACAAAATAAACCATTTTCTAGGTTGAGGATGTTTCTGATTGACTAGGGTAAGAATATTGAGTATGAGTAAGATGCAGCTAAATCAGTGTCTAGCAAGAGATTATGCCTTTATTCACTTGTTAAACATGATAATTTTATTCCTGACTGCTCCTCGGAGGTCAGAATTTATTTTATTACTGATCATTCACTTTTTGCTGGTAGATATTATAGAAAAGTTAATATCAAATCTGGAAATACTCCAAAATAAGGGCATTTGTTTCTTCACAGAGCATTTACAGTTGGGTGATCCTTAGCTCCTGCCCCAGAATAACCAAGTAATAATAAAATTATCTACTGTGATGTGAAGCTGCTGCTTCCAGAAGGGCAGAGGGTCACCATTTCCAGCTGTCAAGGCAGAGACTATTATTATTAATTATTATTATAAGACATGGAATGATCCCTAAATAATTTATTCAGCTCTTATCTCTTTCCAATTCAGAATTTTTGATTTTTGTTGGAGGGAGATAAAAGGAAGAAGCTCAAAGACAATTTCAGTTCATTTTAGGAATCAGTTTAGGTGAGTTAATTTGATTCCTGATTTTTCCTGACAGTTTCAAAATTTATTTAATTTTAATTAATGTAAGTATTTCATAGATTCTTAGAATTATTTAATATGAAAGAAAAAGCTATGAATGTGAGACCTCTCAAATTCTATTCTCATTTGTTCTACAGGTAAATTATCTGATTTAAGTTAAAATAATAAAGTTACTTTACTTTGTTATCTTGTTATATTCACAGAAATTGTCATATCAACTGCAGCTTCCACTACAGTTTAAAAGGCTAAATTCTGCAATTAAGTCCTTGGAAATTTTAGATATGCCACGTTCTGCCTTTCAACTAAACCAGGGTGTATTTTATGGTCAACAAGGTCAACATCACATTCAAAGAGTGAAAAAAAATTACTAACCTCCTAAGCAAGATACGGTTTTATGGAGACCTACTTTTGAGGACAGAAGCCCCTTTATTCAAGAGTGAGAATCGAGAGGGAACTTTTAAGACACAGAATGCTCAGGAAGGAAACAGAATCATTGCTTCCCTTTGTGCAGTTTGTTGGTAGGTGAGGTGGGCTCCGCAGAAACATTAACAAGAACAGAAGCAAGGCTCACCACTTAATCCCACAGCTGTGTGTATAGGTTTATAGGATTTCTAAACATTTTTCCAAGAAAAAGTAAAGAACAATAATTCAAATATTTGGAAACAGGTTCAGCTTAGGCAGGTCTAGAGCAGGGTCTGAAGGTGCAACATACAAGCAACCCTGTTTCTTCCAGTGCTGGAGAGATGGATTACAAGCAACCCTGTTGCTTCCAGTGCTGGAGAGATGGATTCTAAGAAGCAGAAGATACACATTCACGGAGCCTTCATTCCCCGAGCTCTCAGTGTTCCAGAGTATTTATCTGTGAATCGATGCTCCAGTGAGTGACAATTTACACTTAGTGAGATAATGCAGACAGCTTCCACCCCAGGTTCCTTGCAGCCAGGAATCCAGTCACAGGACCTGCAGCTTCACAGAGGGACACTCCATGGGTGGCTTAGTCTCAATTCTCAACCAAAGGGAACCTCTCCTCTTTATTCAAAATAACCTTCATTGCACTCCAGATGGGGAACAGGTCTCTATGTTTCTCACCCTCATCCATGGTAGTGTTTGTTTGGACAATATGGGCCAATGCAGTCTGTAGAACAAAGTCTACAGAATTGGAAACAGTGACATATAAATGAGCTAAAGATGACCTGTGTGTCCTGACCCCTATGTTGTTTATTTCAAAACTGTGTTTACTTCTTAATGGCCTTTTCCACACTGAAATTTTGTAGGGCAATTATTTTAAAACAGCCAAAAGAAGAATATTTTCAGCCTTTCAGAAAATACTTACTTTGCATGTCCATGCAATTTCAACCACATCTGCCAACAATAAGATAAACCCCAGTTATGAAAACCTTAAACCAGAAACTCCGCACTGTGCTGCTATGTGGCACCCCCAGACACACGGCCCCTTGTCCTGTGTCCCATCATTTTGAGAAGCAACCTGGCACCTTATTCTCTGCACAGATTACTGCTGGGAAGGACTTGTCTCTGCAAACCTGTCAAAGCCTCATCCAATAAACTCATGTGTGTGACTGCCCCTCGGTGGCCATCTCTTTACCATGAGCAGCCCACAAATCCTTCCAACCCCCTACAAATTGGATCACAGTGTCCACACTGACTCAGGTCATGAACACAATCAATTCCACTTCTAAGACTCTCTTCTCAAATCTTATGAATAATGCAGTTGCTCCCAATTCTATGAACCCCAAACTAACCACATCAGAAACAGGAGACACAGTCACAATAAACCCCACCTGCATAAGTCCTCCCTCATTCAGGTGACCATGGTTCATATTAGAGACACACACAGGCAGAGGCCTGCTGCACACCTAGATCTGAATCGAGGTGGTTCTGACACCTTCTGATCTGTGTCCACTGTGGAGTGACCAGCTTTGTCTGCTGTTGTCAAAGCCTTGGTGTAATGTGTCAACAGATAAGAGAGGGAGGTTTCTAATCAGAATTAGATATGTTATTCTTTAAGTCTATAGGTAATACATGGTAATTTAAAACTGTTTTCTGAGTAAAAGAGGTCTTTACAAGATTTCACATTTTATGATTATGTAAAGCAACAGATGATGAGATTTTTAAAAATCACAGTGTTAGCCTTCTGAACAATTTATTATCAAGTTTCATAGGAAACAACAAGGCTATCTTAAATTCAAGCATCTTAAAGAAATCTTTGCAAAAATAACATTTTCAAGAATTGACTTTTAGTAAAAGAAAAATTGACATTTTTTTTTTTTTTTTTTTTACTGTTACTCACTTTCCTGCAGTTCAAGTTTCCAGATTGGATGATGAATAGACCTGACTCTTCATTTAACACCCTTTCAGAATAATTATTTAAAACTTGCAGTAAGAGGTACCATCTAGTTCCACTTTAGTTGGGCTGATTGTGTTTTGTGTTTTCTTTTTCCTTTCCTTCAGCCTCTGATGTTTCTTTTTTCACTGTTATGATTAACTAGGAGTCTGAATTTTGAAGACTAAGAAGCAGATTAGAATTGTTTAGTTACATAAGAAAAGTCATATACACAAAAGTTACTAAATTCAATGAGAAAAGAGTAAATAAAATTGAGATAGTAAAATATGAGCCTTTATTCTAATCCAAACTCTTAATTACAATTTGATCTCCTTAACCCACATTATTGCAATGGTGTTCAATATTTAAAGGTCAATATTGTTGTGTTTTCAATTATCTTTTCCAATCATGTAAAAAATGTTATTTTCTTAGAATTCCCATAAGACATTTAAACAGAGCTTTCCTCCAGAATGTTACCTAGAATTTCATTTGTTTGTGTTCTTGGGCAATCAGTTATGAATTTCTGTTAAACGACCCATGATTACATAGTCTTTCAATTACAATTCACTGTTTCCATTGTTCCTGTAATTTTTTTTCCAGAAATGTGACTGTCCTTGTGATGGTGTTTGGTGTCGGCACCATTATTAAGGAACTGTTCAATTAAATAATAAGGACTTCACTAACAAATGAAGAAACATGAGATTGTTTCCCTTTGTAATGGTCAGGTGTGTGGCAGACTCACATCCCTGAGCTGTGAGCGTCTTTCCAAGAAACCCTGGAAATGTCAATTACAGGTTCAGGTTACCCTGAGACATCAAACTGTAGATGCAGTCCTTGCTCTTCCCACATAGACAATTTGCTTCTCAACTGCAGACTCATGGCTGTGGCTGCAGCACATCCAGGCTGGAGGAGACTCAGGTCTCACTCAGGATTGGCAAGAACCCGGAAGCCCTGATTGGACCTGATCCCACATAACCAAGGAGACTGTGTGGGAAGAATTTTCCTAAGAACCACTAGGAAAAACATCATGGAATGTTTTTTCTTATTTGTTCTGTATCATTAACCTATGAAATTCTTCCCTATGGGAGCCTGCTGGTTAACCTTGTATATGTAAGATGATTATGACGGGATTATCCCAGACTGAACAGTTGGTCACCAGGAATTTTATATTGACTGCCTGAGGCATAACATTCTTGTCCCCTATCCTCTTACTTATGCTAAGCTCTTGTCTCTAAATGTAGAGACCCACATCATTCTCTGTGAGGTCTTTGGTCAGAGCAGTCTTGTGGGGCTCACTTGCCAGTTTCCAGGGAAGGGGAGATTCTAACACTTGCATTGAACAATGTTGACCAGTTACCCTAGAAACAGCAGATACCAGGCAACACTTGAACTGGCTCAGGAGCACTTTTCATTTGCAGGCCCTCTGCCCATCTGTGCTTGTGGGAATGGGGCTGTTTTCTTCTTTAGATTGGCTGGAGGGAGTCATGCAGGATGGCATTCACCTCCCAGAGATGCATCCTGGAAACACATTTCCACATTGTCAGGGTCCTCATGCTTTCTCAGTGTGGCACACACTGCACAATGTGTCCCTGCCCGAGGTCCCAACTTGCACAGAGACTTCTTCCCTTGACCACAGGCAAACTTGACATGAACAATGTTTGTTTTATTCCAACAAACATTTTATGTCACATTGTTCACAGAAGAGACATTCCCCCTGCCCCATCAACCTTTTCCACACCACTGCACCCACCAGGTGATTTGCATATTGCCCTCTAGGAAGGACTTTCCCTTTTGATTCTGAGATAAACGCTCAGCTCTAACCTTACCTTGACTGATCAGGACTCCTCAGGTCACCTTCTCACAATGAGGCTCCCTGATCAGCTCCTGGGGCTCCTGGTGCTCTGGGTCCCTGGTAAGGAGAGGATTAAAATGAGGTGATAGAATGGGGTGGGAGGGTGAGATCTGGGGGCTCCACAGCTTCCTATACTTATTTCAACCGTGTGTCACAGGCACATAGTGTATGCTCCATGATCGAGAATTCATTTATTTTTCTCAGGAATAGTCAGGAATCACCTCCCAGGAACAAGTACAAGTGCTCTGATTAAGATCTTGAAAATAAAGAGTTCCCTCCTGGTTAGTAAAGAATGGGTTCATTTTAGAAAGTCTACCTTTCATGATATAAATCAAAACTTGAAAAAAACATAACTGTAAATCAATATCTTAAGGGAAATCATGAAAATTGCTCAAAATGTGCGTATATAACCTTGCACTTCTCTGTTATTATTTCAGGATCCAGTGGGGATATTGTGATGACCCAGACTCCACTCTCCCTGCCCATCACCCCTGGAGAGCCGGCCTCCATCTCCTGCAGGTCTAGTCAGAGCTTCTTGGATAGTGATGATGGATACACCTATTTGGATTGGTACCTGCAGAAGCCAGGCCAGCCTCCACAGCCCCTAATCTATTTTGTTTCAAGCCGGGCCTCTGGAGTCCCAGACAGGTTCAATGGCAGTGGATCAGGCAGTGATTTCACACTGAAAATCAGCGGGGTGGAGGCTGATGATGTTGGGGTTTATTACTGCATGCAATGTATAGAGTTTATTTCCACAGTGGTACAGCCTGGAAAAGAAACCTCCCTGCTGGGGTGTCCCAGTTGCTCACATGCAGTACTTTTCTGGAGAGCAGCTCAGCAGAGTCTCTGAATCTGCAGGAGAGGAGGCTGTTGGGGAATTCAGGGCAGAGTTTGTTGCTGAGGACTCTGCCTGGGGCGACAGGTGCGTGCCACTAAGCATGGCTAATTTTTCTTTTTTCTTTCTTTTTTTTTTGGTAGAGTCGGTGCTTCACTATGTTGCCCAGTCTGTTCTCAGGCTCATGGGCTCAAAACACCCACCTGACTTGGTCTCCCAATGTGCTGGGAGTACCGGTGTGAACCATTGCACCAGGTCAGCACCCCTGTTTATGTTCCTGTCACTTGCCACAGCCTTTACTCTCATAAGCAACAGGAGAATGAGGAGGTTCTAGGGCTCTGTGAGTAAAAAATCAGGAAGATAGGGAAAGGAGAATGGAAGCTCATCTGAATCCTCCTTCCTTGCCTACATTTGTTTAAATTTGAGCAAAACAGCCAGACAATTGATCATTTCTGGCAAAACATGTTGAGTCCCTCTTAGGGTTTAACAGTTTTGGGTACCTTTTAAAGAAAATATTTGGTTATATGTAAAATTGGGATTTTCCCACCTTTTAAATTCCTGCTTCTTCTATTTGCCATTCTTTTCCACTCCGTGAGAGAGTAGAGACAGGATTCTTCACTAGTTCTCCTCAGGGGGAGCTGGTTGAGGACAATCAGTAACATCTTCGTTGTGAGTGTCAAATAGACTTTGTAATTTCAAAGCAGACGCAAGTTCCTAATACTAAAATCTTTGATTACAGCTACCTCTTGCTGATAGAAAAGGGAGTTCTTGAAAATTTGAAAGCTGGTTTTAAAAATAAAATGCATATGCTGGAAGATGCAGTGTAGCAAAGATGTAGTATTTTCCATGGATCACTGAAGAAATACAGGATGATGTAAACTATTTTATTATCCAAAGTTCAGAATTCAAGATTGGGCAGACTGCAGGAATGTGTGCATGAAGAGAACACAGGAGGGATCAACTATTGTTCAATTAAACTGCCCTTGGCTTATGGTGGGTGGGGATGTGGCTGGTGGTGGCCATGGCAGTTGGTGATGTGGATCCAAAAAGAGGCCAAATGTTTCTTGTGAAGAACCACAGAGTTGAAGGCACTGCTGCCTGGCTTCCTGGGTGGAGCCTGTGCCGCTGGGAGTCTCACAGGAAAGTAATGTCGTGAGTAAGCATTTAGTTCTGTAATCACCAAAGGTTTAGTGAAGTCCCTGTGCAAAGAGATCTGAGGTCATGTCACTCAGTTCTAGTCAAATCACAGCAGCCAGGCAGAGCTTCTGAAACTTATTCTATCCTTAGGGGAGGTCTAGCAGAGACCACTGTTTGGGTCTGGGAGTTGTCACGACCACTGACATGCTGAGCAGAAGGCCCAGCAGGATGTTATCCAGCAGGTTTTGATAAATGACAACTTTGATATTAAGTGGTCATAAACAAACAATAAAAGGATTTAAAGTAAGTAAATATATTATTTTTACACAATGTGATCATTACCTAAAATAAATTTGATGTGTATATTCTAGTGGTAATGGTATAGAAAAATGTATGATTTATATATATTCAGTTAAATTAATGCTCCAAAAATATTTATGAATTATTCATGGGCATGTCAGTTACCTGTCATGAGGTGATATGCTTAAAGAAATGTTTGTATTAAAAGGACAAAATATCTTTTTACTGGTTAAAAAATTGAATCACATCAGAAATGATTGTCTATTCTAAGATGATGGATCCCATGGTGAGTGAATTTAAAATTTTATTATTATTATTATTTTTTTTTTGAGAGGGAGTCTCACTCTCTCACCCAGGTTAGAATGCAGTGGTGCGATATCAGCTCACTGCAAGCTCTGCCTCCCAGGTTCATGTCATTCTCCTGTCTCAGCCTCCCCAGTAGATGGGACTACAGGTGCCCGCCACCACGCCCGGCTAATGTTTTTGTATTTTTAGTAGAGACGGGGTTTCACTGTGCTAGCCAGGATGGTCTCAATCTCCTGACCTCAAGATCCACCCGCTTCGACCTCCCAGAGTGCTGGGATTACAGCCGTGAGCCACCACGTGCAGACTAAAATTGTATTTCTAAACGGAAATATCAAGAAAGAAAGAAAAAGAAAGAAAGAAAGAAAGAAAAAGAAAGAAAGAAAGAAAGAAAGAAAGAAAGAAAGAAAGAAAGAAAGAGTGGAATATAGCAAAGAATTTGTCACACATACAAAGAATGATAAGTCTTTACTTTTCCATTCATGAGTGAGAACACATAACCAATCCAAAATCTATTGATTTCACTCCCACAATCATTAGTGTGGAGACTAAAGGTAGCACAATTAAAATTACAGTCTTAACCGAAAAGTACCAAAACAAAGAAAAGTCGGTTTATAGAAAATAGTTTGCAAAATAAAGAATGACATGTCTGTAGAAGGTATTCACAAGTGGGGACTCACATCTAACCAAAATTCTAGGGATTTCACCATCACAAACACTACTTTGGAGCCTTGAGATGCTGCACATCCTCCTGTGAGCAGGACACTCCTTGGGCCCCTGCGCATTGTGATGGCCCCAAACACAACTCTCCCAAGGAAGCTCAGCCTCTCAGTGCAGAAGGAGAGGTTGTGGTGCCAGGGAATGTGTCCACAGCAGGTAGAATCAGGTGGGCTCAGGCAGTTGCCTAGAAAGTCTTTGAGGAAGAGGACATGAGGCCTCAGTCACAGGTACATGTTCTTCTTCTGTGTGAACAGGGGCCAGATCTCTCCAGGGCACCTTCCAGAGCCTCTTCCTTCCTAACTACTTTGGGTGCACAAGTCCCACAGACCCTCCAGTGTTGGCTGCCACATCATCCCTGGAGCAGCCTCTAAAGTTTCCTGCTGTCCTCATAGCTGCAGGGTTGCTCAGTCACGTCACTGGGAGGAGATCCTAGTGTGTCCTGTCCTCACCTGCTACAGGCATACTTGACTTGAACTATGTTTGTTTTGCTCCATTGAACATTTTATGTCACATTCACAGTAGAGGTATACCCTCTACACCATAGACCCTTTCCACACTGCTGCCCCCACCAGGTGATTTGCATATTGTCCTCTAGGGAGAACCTTCCCTTGTGAGTCTTAGATAAAAGCTCAGGTCTAACCTTGCCTTGACTGATCGTGACTCCTCAGTTCACCTTCTTACAGTGAGGCTCCCTGCTCAGCTCCTGGGGTGGCTAATGCTCTGGCTCCCTGGTAGAGACAGAAGTGAAATGAGTTGGGAAAAGGGGGCTGAAAGGTGAGTTCTGGGGGCTCCACGGTTTTCCATATTTATTTCAACCATGTGTTAGAGCCACATGATCTATGCTCCAGGAAAGAAAATCCATATTTTGGTCTTAAGAATAAACAGGATTCACCTCCAAGGAACAATGACCTCTGCTCTGATTAAGATCTTGAAAATAAAGAGCGAATGTGTCCACAGCGTGTGGGGTAAATTGGGCTCAGGCAGTTAGCTGGGGAGTTCCCCACTGGCTGTTAAATAATGGGTTCATTTTAGAAAGTCTGTTTTTCATTATATAAGTCAAAACTTGAAAATACATATAACTGTAAATCATAGGGAAATCATGAAAGTTGCTCATAACATGTCTATATAAACTTTGCACTTTTCTGTTATTATTTCAGGACCAAGTGGGGATATTGTGATGACCAAGACTCCACTCTCCTGGCCTGTCTCCGCTGGAGAAACAGCCCCCATCTCCTGCAGGTCTAGTCAGAGCCTCTTGCCCAATGATGGATACTCCTATTTGTATTGATTCCTGCAGACGCTAGGCGAATCTCCACAGCTCCTGATCTATTTTGTTTCAAACCGGGCCTCTGGAGTTTCAGACAGGTTCAGTGACAGTGATTCCAGCACTGATTTCACACTGAAAATCAGGAGAGTGGAGGCTGAGGATGTTGGGGTTTATTACTGCATGGAAGTCCTATAGTTTCCTTCCACAGTAGTACAGTACTGAACAGAAACCTTCTTCTGGGGTGTCCCAGCAGCTCACATGCACTGCTTGTCTGGCGAGTAGGTCAGCAGGGTCTGTGTCTGCAGAGGAGTACGCTGTTGGAGAATACAGGGCAGAGTTTGCTGCTGAGGACTCTGGCATAGAATTCTTGCAATTCCAAAAGTGGGCTTTGAAAATAAACAAAATAATTCAGATGGAGAACATAAAGTTTACATAATGTGCCACAGGAACAATGCAGAATTAAATGAGATTTTATTTCCTTCTCAAATCTTAGAATTTTAAAAATATTTTACAGACATAGCCTTTTAAAGAGAAAATATTTAGTGCTCTGTTGTCATAAGAAAATGATTCTAAGAATGAATAAATGCATTATTTTTATATGACATTCTTCCTGAAAATAAATCTGAATCCTCTATTTCAGTTGTAAATGCATAGAAAAATTATGCTCTTAGTAGATTCCATTGACAATAGCGCTCTAAATTTATATGCTTCCTTAATTTGAGGGCTACAGTCTGATAAATATCTATATACATTTTGCCATGTAACTTTTAAACCTAACAGAAATCCTTTCTGTTAAAAATGCAGTAGTGCTTTCTCCATCATAATGCTAGAGGGCAGTTTCACGCGACTGGTGAAGGAGAGAGAAAGTTTGGGAAGTGGGAACATAGCAATTTCGCAATATGACCAAGTGTTATCATGTAGAAAACTATCCCCAAACCAGTCATTTCTAACATGTGTTACCGCTTGTGCTACCACTAATCTGCATCCATGATCTGATTTTTCTGCCAAATAGATTTCCATGAACCTGAATAATGAGTGATGTCTATCACAGGTGGTAACACATGTGTAGAGACACAGAAGACTGATTGAATCAATAGAACAAGATCCTGATGCAGGCTAAGGGCTTAAATAATACTTGAGATTATTTATTTCAAGATAACAGATTCCATAGGAAGTGCAATTAAAATTCCAATGTGTCATTTCTGTTAGGTTTAAAAGTTGCATGGCAACATGTATATAGACATTTATTAGACCAGAGCCTTCAAATTGAAAAACATAAATCACTCACTATGTTATTGAAAAATACTAATTAATGCATCATTGAGCCTATATTTTATTACAGAATGCAGTA